AAAATAAACTAAAACTAAATTGTATAGTATGCTAAATTAGCTTATTTTCATCCAAAAAAAAAGAGGCAAAGTAAACTTACAAAATACGAAATTTTAAAAAAGGACCTTTCAGAAAAATGTAAAATAATTACACATTCATATATTTAACTAATATGAATATAAATGTACTGCACAATCATTATGTTTACATATATACACAATTAATACAAATAATAATACTAAAGTAATTGCAAATACAAATAAATATTAAAAACAAGTTTCTAATTAGCACATTATGTAACAAAAAATTTATAACAAGATTAATATTAACTATTTGTTAACATTTTAACATTTGTTGTATTTATTATATATAATTAATAGATTATTTGTTTTTCAATGCACTGTATAATTTTTCATACTGCAATAATTTTTATTTCTTTTGTTTATCAAAAAAAGGAGTTTATTTTTTAGTGGCTAGATCCTGATTGGCCTAGGTAATGCACAACACCTGGAAAAAGTATGTTCTTTGTCTTTCCTTCTCTGGCCCTGAGCTAATCATTAAATAATGCTAATTTTTCAAAAAGTTTCTATAAAGAATATACCAAATTTTCCTGCAGTTTTTAATAAAAATATTTTTATGTACAGTACCTCAATTCTTTCTTGTATATCTTTATAAGATCCTATATTTGTTATTATTAACAAAAAAAAATGTAATTGGGACTCCTCTTCTTATTCATAATTCATCACTTTATATATAAATTTATATTAACCTAAGATACATATGTCCAAGTTGTTTTATAATATTTCTTGGAGAATTGGATAATTCTCCAAGAAACAAGTTGCAATATATTAAAAAGTTTTCACAAACAATAAACAGGAAATTAAAGGAACACAGATGTAGTTTTAAACTCTTGAATACATAATGTAACACACATAAAAATAGCTTTTAATCGTATATATCTTATACAATATTTTGCTCCATTTTAACTATTTATCTTGAATCTCTTAACTAGTATTCAATACTACTTCCATTCTTTAATTATACAAATTACACAAATATCATTTTCTATTTTATTTCATTTATGAAATTAAAAAAAGTAGAATTATTTTGGAGTATTTTTTCATCCTATTGCATATTGTACTTGATATATATTAGTAATTTGAGATCCATTTTATTAAATTTTTATGTATATAAATTAGAGAATAAAACTTTGGATATGCTATTAAACACATAACTTGAACAATTAGTAAGTACAATAACTTTAAGAAAAGGAATGAAACAAAATTAAGCTAAAAATCAATAAAGTCAGTAAACGAGACAATACCAGAAACAAACTTTAATTTTTATTAATTCCAACTAAAAATATATTTATTTATATTGATTAATTTAATATTACATTTTGATTTTGTATGCTAGAGAATTAGTCATATAAATAGGATATTTGAGACAGAGCACTAGTGAAGCCTCTTCTAACTTATGTGGCTTATAGAATTGTGTTCACTCTTCAAAATTTGATCAATCAATTTTGAATAAACCTTGCCATTTTTCATTAATTGCAATGAGGAATCCACCAAAATATAATTAAAAAAACGGAGTTCATGACTTTGTTTTGAGATACAAGGTCATAGCACAAATGAACATCATAAAGTGACATTGTGCAAGTTTGTTGCAAGATGTACCAAGGTCACTATCACATCTTTGTGGCTTATAGAATTGAGTTTACTCTCAAAATTTGATGGGCTGAATTTGATAAACTTTGCCATTTTCAATGTCTTAAGTGCTCAGCAATTAAATAAATAAATAAAAACAAAACACCTTTTTTGCCGAGAAATAAATATAATTGTAAAAAGGACCCTGGGTTACAGAAAAAGTATAATTGTAGGAATGCTTAAGAAGTATGAAAGGGGCATAGTAAAAAGAACCTTAAGTAATGTACCTACTAGACTCAAGAAATTCACTTATAATAGCAGTATGAATAGTGTTATGAAAGAAATTGCTCGTCGAAATGAGTCAAGAATGGTTTTAAAAAGAGCCCCTAATTTGTATAAGATCTTAAGAAATGATAAGGATAGTATCAAAGCGGAGGAGAAAGCAGGGGTGTATAAGATTCCTTATGAGAACTTACAACTGGATGTTAAAAAAGATTATATCGGCGTCACCACCAGAAACTTGGGAGTAAGACTTAAAGAACATAGATATGCCATAAGAAAAGCGTCTAATTCAACGATTTTGTCTCAAATGGCGCAGGCCCAAGGCTCTGAGGTAAAATGGGATGAGGCAACAATCATCAAACCTCTGTCTTCCCCAACTTTAGCAATGACGGCAGAAAAGATAGAAATATACAAAAGTAAGATAGGAGAAGGCTGTTTAAATGTGAGGGATGCCGACAACCTGCCTTCAGCATGGAAATACTTGGTCAAGAAATTTACTAGAAACTTGGACCAGAATTAGTACATTGAAGAATTATGTTATTTTTTGTTTTATTATTTGTTTTATTTTAATTTTTATATATTCTTCCGTTATTTTTCTCTTGTAAATTTTTGATTTGAAATTTTTTATGTTCTATTCATGGAACATTTACATTCCATTTTCGTTTTCGACCTGAAGATGGCCTATTAATTGGGCTGAAAACGTTTGTTTTTACAATTATATTTATTTCTCAGCAAAAAAGGTGTTTTGTTTTTATTTATTTATTTGCCATTTTCTGTTAATTGTAATGAGGAATCAAAAAATGTAATAAAAAAATGGAGGTCTATGGTGTCATTTTCAAGGTCAATTTGATGATGCCCATGATCCCTGACACTATTCAGTGCACTAACAGAATTTAGAGACCAAAAAAAAAAAGCATTGAATGCACCTAACAAATAAGGGCAAGGGCAATGCTTTTTTCCCCAAAATTCTGTTAGGCACACTGAATCATGTCAGGGAGCATGGACATCTTCATATTGAACTAACTGTATCTTGAAAATAATGTCACAGACCTCCATTTTTTCTTCTTGGATTGCCTCTGCCACACTGGCAAGTGCAAGAATTGTCTGTCCATGGAGACAAGTACAGAATTGCCCATGTAATCTTCAGATGCAAGAATTACCAGTTTATGCCAAACAATTGTAAAGATTGTTTCTTTCTTTCCAGCTCTGTCTCAATTCTATTGTGATACAACAAAGTTGTGCAATGTCCTAGTTTTGTTTCATTTTATTTCTTATTTTATCTCTTAGAGTTATTGTACTAATTTATAAACATTTTCATAGATAAAATCTTATTTATTCTGAAAAAATTTAACTCTATAATACAAGATAGAGTATATTCAAATTTAAATATCAATTCCAATCATGCAATAACTTATATATAGTGAAACTAGTATATAAGTAAAATCAAAAATAAACAAACATGAAGGTAAAATCAATAAACCTGGCTTGTATATATATGCATGCAGTGGTGATATTCAGCGGGTTCGCACAGGTTCGGCCGAACCCGTTGTTAACATTTTCAAAGTTTTCCGAACCTTGTTAAACACATGTAACATTTCTCAATGGTTTTGATTCTTTTAAAAACATATATTAAAATATACGTATTATACTCTGTAACACTACTAAACTAGAGCCTTCCGATGCACCATTTGAGCGAAAAAAAAATTAAGGAAAAATTTTCTGTTATCGAACCCTTTGTTAAATATTTCGAATATCACCACTGTATACATGCATGTATGTTTATCTATATATTGGTATTTATTTCAGTCATAATTTATAATCTATTTCTAAGTTTCACTTTCAGAAGAAAATGCATTTAACATAAATCATAGATTTGAAATATTTGGTAAGTAAAAATGATTTGGTCTCATTACATTGCAGTTTTCTTATTATATAATGATTAAATAATAAAAAGCAGAGTGAAACAATATGTTTTTTCGTTTATATATAAGATAAAATCAATAAGATTATACTATCAAACAATCCACTAACTTTCTTATTGATTCATCTTATATAAATTGATATTTCATTAAAAAAATTATGATGAATAATGCCAATTATATGAAATATTATCTTTCTCTATATTTGAGAACATTAACATAAGATAGAATAGTTTTTAAGTTAGTAATTTCATTTTCATATAATTGTAATACATAGAATTAAAGATACAAATAAAAATTAGAAAATAAATACAATAATTTTCATAATCATATAATTTTAGTGGATATGATGTTAAAGTATCATTTACTTCAAATTTTATTTACCAAATGTAATCCATTTTTAAATAAATTTTGTTTAAAAAATAATAAATTCAGTTATAATAAAATAATTTATGATTAACTCATAAAGACAAAAAATTTATAATCCTTTTGTTATTTTAATTTATATTGTTTGTAATTAATAAATGAAGATTAGTTATTTTCACTAAAAGTTAATATTAATATTACAATTTTCCCAATTAATGTTTAAAATATTAATTGTTGATTATTTAAGTTATGTCAAAATATAAAAGTCTTCTGAAATTGTATTGAGGTATGCAATTTGATAATTTTAAGGATATTTCATGGTTTAAAATTAATAATTTAAATACTTAATAACTGAAAGCTCTAAGTACAAAAATTACTGTATTTATAAATTTCTGTATGTTCTAGAACAGTGCTTCTCAAACTAGTTGACATGGCAGACTGAAAATATTATTTCCAATTTGCTAGGAACTACTATTATATTTTTTCCATATTACTGCATTATTGTATTCAAATGCCAGGATGCCCACATAACAGTATCTTCATATTAAGTGTATACTGTAGTGATTTGACATAATTTTCAAAAATTGTTTTTTGAAGTATGGTATTATTTCATACAATGCTTTCTTTTCTGGAAATTTTCTGTGAACTGGCAGCTAATGAATGGCTCACAGACCAGTATCAGTCTACAGACCACTACTTAAGTAGCACTATTCTAGAATATTTTCATGTAATTAATTTTAGAAATAAATATTCTTACACTTTAATAATAAAGTGTAATATCTGTAAAAAAATAAAAATATTTACAATGATAACCTGGCAGTTTCAAAGTAATAGGAAACTTGTGCACGACAAGGATTATCATAATGTCAAGATTCATAGACAAGGTGCTGATAATGAGGATAAATTTCCCAAATTGGAATATGCAATGAAAATTCCAATGCTACTAAAACCCCAAATTCTGAAGATAAAATATCTCTACGATTTAGACGAAATGAACCTTCTATTTTCTGTAACACACAAAAGTTTTTGTCAATAAATAGCTAATAATAGTCAGATTTTTTTCAACATGCTTACCTCTATTAATAATCGTAATTCTGCTCCTTTGACATCATTCAATTTAGCTGATAATAGAAGACATGCTGCAGCACACAGTTTTCGATTTTGCTTATTTATTAACAACTAAAATTATAAATTTTTCAACTTTAAAAAATGGTTAAACACCTTATATATTTCTAAAATATGTTTAGGAATTACCTTCAATATCAATTTTTCAAAATAAACATATGCTTGAGCCACAGTAAGTAAATCAACACCACACTGAAAATAAAAATAGAATTCATGTATTAGGACAGAAATTTCACAATTTTCTTTTCTACAAATAAAAAATAATTAATATAAACATTAAATAGCAATTTATGTACGACTAAAAATAAATTTTTAAGTGTTCAAATACTTGTATTAACTTATCAATGATAGTAAAATTTTTCTTATGCTTGTAAATTATCTTAATAATTTCACATATAGCATATTATCATATAATTTGTTAAATAATAAATTATAGTTAACAGTAATCTGAAAACTTATTTATATCTTGAAATAATTCATTAATAAGAATGGAGTTCTCATGACATTTTTGATAAAATCTTTGAAATTTTCTTAATTTTCTTTACACTCACAATTAATTACAGACAATGAAATATATCTAAATTTAAGAAATATTGTTGATATATATATATATATATATATTGGNGATAATTGCAAAGGTGATAAGGTTAATTTTTGCAAAGTATTTATAAAAATATAAAAAAATATAAAGTGTAATATTCATTTATAGCAATTATCAATAACTTTATTATATTTGTGAAACCAACTAATTTTTTATTTAGGTTTCAATGTAATGGTTTCTGCCAATTAAAGACATTACCAAAGCACAGAAATTTTATTATTTTAAAAAGATCATTTCATTTATTTCAATAAGACTGTTGTATTTGTAAAAATATTAATATGTGAAGAGAATCCTAATGCAAAATATTGAATAGGCAGTTAAATGTTATCTTGTAAGGAACAAATGTAAATAATATGCGAGATTTTGAACACCCCCCTTAATTAAGTAAAATTTTATGTCAAATCCATAATTTTTGAAAATAATACAGTCGATCCTAACTTTCTTATTGATTCATCTTATATAAATTGATATTTCATTAAAAAAATTATGATGAATAATGCCAATTATATGAAATATTATCTTTCTCTATATTTNCGATCCCCCTATAAGATCATTGATTTTTCCGTTTTATCTGAATTACATGTTGTACGAGTCACTTAGATTTTACAAATATGTGAGCCGTTCACAGCCCGGCACACGTATTTGTAAAATCTAAGTGACTCGTACAACATGTAATTCAGATAAAACGGAAAAATCAATGATCTTATAGGGGGATCGACTGTATTCCTAATTTTTAATGACAAATGTTTAAGTTAAAAATGAAGGAAACTGGTAAAACTCACTTCCTTCTCAACGGAAGTTCTACATCCTTTCGTCTTTCCCTTATCTTCACAAATTTTGAGTCACACACCGTACTATAAACCCCCACTCTTCCTAATCATGTGGGAAGAATACAATATTCCCATTGGAGAAAGACATCGAAAAAAAGGGGATTCTTTAGTATTATTCGTGGAGTATGCCACGAAATTTCACAAGAGAAAGACATATTCCATATTATCTCCCTACAGCCAACGCCCTTAATCAAGAGTACGCCAAAGGTTCCAAAGGAGGAAAGAAGTATTCCATACCGTCTCCCAATGCCCATAACCAACTCCCAAAATTTATACAAAGTTTATTTCTAAGTTTCCAAGTTGAAGAGAATGTATAATGAAGTGCCGCCTAAGATTTAACAGGGACAAGAACGAAAACCTGAGGAGAACTAGAGAAATAACAAACATTCACATTGATCCAAATAGAAAGAATACAGAAGAACATATATATAGTGAGGTAGTATGATTTTGAATCGAAATGTTATCTCTCTCCACAATATCCGTATTAATATGTTGAAGGTCCAATTTGTATATTTTATCTTGTTTTATTAAATATTTGGATCTTTTATGTTTAAGAAATGTCTCATTATGTCTGAATCAAAAGATCTCATCATCTCCATATTGATTCGTAAACGCATGTTAATCCACGTGTAAGAAAACTGATTAACTGGTGTCAAACATCCTGACGTGGATCTGAATCTCACAAATTTGGATCCCTTTTAAACGCCCTTAAGGCCATCCTTTGACTAGAGACCTTGAACTCCAGAGAACAAATCTCATCAATCTGTGCCGATTAAGTGGTACATCAATTGTAAGGATCTGTACCCCCCCGACTAACTCACAAATATAAATGATGGGTTTATCTGTTTGTGGACTAACAAAATGAATATAAAATCTGTAATTAAACACATTTTAATACAGTAGAACCTCGAAAACTCGGCCTAATGTGGACCGAAGGGTGGTCGAGTTTGTGAAAATGCCGGGTTATCGGGAATGGGGTTAAAAAAATAAGTACGAGCGTTTCCTCAGAAAATACTGTACTGTACTTGTATGTATTGTTTACTTGAGAATATAACAGAGAATAAACTGCCCAAATACCCTTAAACAAAGGAAAAGTACGTCCTTTATGAAGGCATAGAGCCTTTACTACATGAAAATGAAAATTAATGAATACACTGTGTACAGTAATTTACCTGATAAGACAGACC